TTTTTTTTTTTTTTTTTTTTTTTGTTACCTAGGCTGGAAAGGGAAGTGGAGGGAGGACAACAGATGTGACTCTGCTGGGATGCTTGGGTACCACTGCAGTGAGGTGTGAACACATGGAGAAACACTGGGAGTGAGGCACTTGGGTGGTGTTCAGTGATGCACAGGAAGCTCTGAAAGCAGGAATCCAGACTCTCTGGTTTCTTCTGTCCCTTTGATGCTGAAATTTTTCACTTGGAGACATCACCAGGCTGCCATTAAAAATTCCTGCCACCTTGCAGTACTGCAGACTGCGGTCTGGTCTGGGAGGTGGAAGTCAAGCTTAAGCATGGCCGGGCTCACTCTGGGTGTGATGGGTGCTTGTTTAGAGGTGGGAGGTGGTGAGAAGATTGGTGTGACCTGTGTCAGGCACCCAAGAGGAGGAAGAGGGCTGGTCCCAGTGAGTAAAAGATCTGGGGGGGTGCTTCTGCATGCTGCTACCTTTCCTCAGCACAGTGCTCCTCTCTCCCTGAGCTCACTTAGTCCTTTACATATTAAAGGTGTCTTAGCAGGGAAAATGGTAGAAGGGAAATAACACAAACAGGCTTCAGCTAGCTAGCAGGAGATATTCACCAGATGTGCTGCTGGGCTGCGTGGCCCATATAGAGCTGCCCATCCTGGTTTCCTCTCCCAAAGTGCCATGTGCCCGAAGCACCAGTCCAGGGGGTACCCTGAGAAACCAAAAAAAACCAGTAGCATGCGGAAGCAGGGAGAGAGGCGTCCAAGCTGCTGCTGCTGCCAAGGGCTTGATGAGATAGCTCATCTCCTGTGAGTAACTCCCTGCTCCTACCTGAGCAACTGGCAGAGGACCCTGCAGGTTAGGTAGTCTGGCTCCTTATGCGTCTTGCAGGTAGTCCAAGGGTTTTTGTTTGGGAGAATAGCTGACTCTTCCTCATATCTCTGTTGTATGTCTTGCAACTCTGGGCCACGTATATAACTCACAGGATGAAGAAGGTTGTATGGAAGCCTTGAGAAGGGTTGTGTGCATGTCCATCTGTCCTGCTGGCTCTGCAGAATGGCAGATGGAGGGGATCTGTGTGCTTGGAGGGGTAGGGGAGTGCCAGAGCTCAGAGATGCCCATCCATGTCTGTCTCCATGGTGGACCTAAGGATCCATCTGCCCCAGCCAAACCCCGCAGTTCTTGCTCCCAGCACTCAGATGGCGAATGCTTCAACCTCTCGACCTGCACGCAGGTGCGGAGTTGCTCTTGGGTTGGTTTGCAAGTAACCTTCCAAGGGTTAATGTATTGTGAGAAGGTTGCAAAGGGCTGAAGCCTGGAATCCCCTCGATCCCTTGCCTGGAGAAACACAAAGTCCAATAAGCCAGCACCCCTGGATTCGTGTTGGGGGGGATTAATTCATGCACTTGATGTTAAAGCTTGTCCGAGAGGTTTGCACGGGGGGGCCATCGCTAGGGCTGGTTGGCCTCTCTAAATGGTTGCTAGGGCCCTGGCATCAAGGGCCAATGTAGCTGCCCACAGCCACGGTCACGGAGGGAATTACACAGCCACAAAGAAATTGTTATTCTACATAATCTGCTCTTTGGAGAGTGACTGTGGGGAAACAGGCTGGCCCCAGCATGCCGCCAGCTCTGTGATCATAGAAGCGTGCTGGCTGCAAAGATCGGCCAGGGCTCGCCTTCTGATCTGGGGACACCAGGGCTCGAGGCGCTAATCTGCTTTATCAGCGATTTCTCTCTCCTGACACAAAGGTGTTTACTTGTTTTAACATCTCCCGGGACTCTATTTCTCCTTTTGTGTGGTCTTTATCCCCCGATGAGGGCTTTAGCCCAGATTACAGACAGAATTAAGGCATTTGGCGATGTGCCTCAGAACTGTGTGATGCTGGATCAAGGAGCAGAAAGTAACAAAATAATGGGGGGAGATGCTGGGAGTGACCCCACTGTGGGATCTATGCTGTCGGCTTTCAGGACTGCTTCATTGTCCTGAGAACCAAGAGCCTGTTGGAGAGGGGTGGCCATGCGGCAGGGTTTGAAAAGCAGGTGCTTCAAGGTTTATTATGTCCAGCATTTTTGATTTAGAGGGTGTGAGGAGGAGGAGGAGGAAGAAAAGGAGGGTTTGCAATAGGTGGCACTTTCAAGCAGCTGGGCAGATTGTCCCCTCCGTTCCCAAGAGTCTGCCGTGGCTGGGTGTTGCTGGCTGCTGGGGTAGGTGGAGTGATACAGGGGACGGGCTGTGCCATGTGCCTGGTGCAATTTCATATGGCCCAGGGAAGGGGCTCGAACTCCTTCTTGAAGTCTGGCAGCATGGACCCTCAGCAGGCACCATCCACCTGGTGAGCTGATGGTTCTGCAGATGAGCAAGCAGCAGAATGATACGGCTGCAAAGCATCTGGCTTAGAGCTTCATGGAGATGTTGCTTTTGCTCTTTCACAGTAAGCAAGGAATTAAAAAGGATGAAGGAGGGACGGAACCAACAAAAAAACCAACCTTTGGGAAGTCATCTCCAGAGCAGCCCTGGGGTGGTTGCTCTTGACCTGTCATGTTCAGCCCCAGATATGGTGTTTGCAGTATGCAGTGTACTGGAGGGGGTTGAGGAGAGCAGCCGTGGAATACTGGGTCAGGAGACTCTGATTTGCCTGTGAATCTGAGCTTTTTTGCCTGTGTGTAAAAGATAGGGAGAAATACCCCTGTGGGCAGTATTTTGAAGGATGGAGTCTGGGATGGGATGGGATGCGATTGACCAGGTAAGTGGCTGTTGCAGGTTATCTGGAGTTTGACTAAGTTGAGAATTGTCTCCCGTGGAAATGGAGACCCATCATTCAGAGTACCGGTCACTTCTCCCAAGGAAAATGATCCCATTCTGCTGGGGGTCAGCTGTGCCTGCTCCTTGGCTCTTTCTCTTACAGCTGTGACTCCTGCTGGTCACCCTCCATGACAGTTAGTGGCCCAACCAGTAGCAGAAGCTGGGGGAGGGAGAGGAAAACTCTACAGGCTTTTGCATTCTGTTAAATCACAGAAATGAGATCTAGGAGACTTCTGTGACACCATCTCTGCTCTGGCCAGCTGAATTGGAAAGGTGCTTTGCTCCAAATGACTCTTCCCCTATTGTGTTTCACCGCAGTGGTCAGCTGTTGACCTGTTTGGGGACTGACTTCCACCGTGGAGCTGGAGTCCTTGACGTCTTCTACGAAACACCCTCCCTTCTCCTTTCTTGTGGGTATGACACCTACATCCGCTACTGGGACATACGGACCAGCACCAGGTGAGCCTACCCTGCTGCCATCTGGGCCCTGCGTGAGACTCCTGGGCTCCCCCTGTGCAGCGTCTGGGGACTCGCTCGCAGCTGAATTAGCTCCTTCGGGCAAACTGAGCCTCAGCTCCAGCAGCGGAGGAGTGGAGGCTCAGCCCTGCTCTGTTTTGTGTTGCTCTTACAGGAAGTGTGTCCAGGAGTGGGAAGAGCCCCATGACAGTGCCCTGTACTGCATAAGGAGTGATAAGAACCATATGATTGCCAGCGGCTCTTCTTACTATGGCGTGGTGCGCCTCTGGGATAAGCGGCAGACTCGGTGCCTGCAGGTGAGGGATGGCTGGAGCCTGGCAGCAGCAGAGCTTCTGAGTTGGTCTCTGGCAGCCTGTGTCTCTTTGGCAGAAGAGAGAGGGGCTGCTGGGCTGTCTTTGGGGTGAGCCCACCGTGGGGAACCTAACCTATATGCAGGGAGAAGCCTGCTTTGCTCAGGCACCTTGGCTGTTGGGTCTGTAACACCGGTTGGGGTCTTTGGGCTGACCTCTTCTTTGAAAGGTCAATTCTCCTATTTTATTGCAGAGCTTTCACCTGTCTTCACCCACCAGCAGCCCAGTGTACTGCCTTCGTTTCAGTACCACCCACCTGTACGCTGCCCTGGCATCAGCCCTGCACGTCCTAGACTTCACAGCCCCATGAAGAAGGGCACCACAGCTGCTTCTGGTCACCCCAGCTCAGCAGAGTTGACACTTGGCTCAGGGAATCGCAGGGCAGGAGAGGTGAGAATGGCCCCCAAGGCTTCTGAAGGGATTTTTTGCCTGCCAGAAAGCTACATGGAAAAGTGCACAAAGGGCCAGACTTTCTCAACCTCACCTGCCCATTAGTGGAAATAAAGGCCGATTGTCCTTTCCCCTTTTTATTTTGTGCAAGGCAGGGTTTGTTTTATTAACAGTGTTCTTTTTTTCTGTTTTTTTTTCTTTTTTTTTTTTTTTTTTCCTGTGGATACAGCATTTGAGGGGCAAGTTGAGCCAGGATGCCCTATCAGCTGTGTGTGTGCGCTGGTCAGGTTGAGATCAGCCAGGCTCTGAGCCGTGTGAAGCAAGTCTAGGCTGTGTGTGGGTATTTGGTGGAAGGAAAGGTGCCTGGAGCAGGGCCCACCTTTCACATGCGCTTGGTCTCCTGACAGCTGCTTGTGTTGTCCTTCGCAGCCAAGAGCAAGAATTGAGCTAAAAGGCAGAGCCAGGCCTGCTTTCAGTGTATGCCTCCCCAAGCTGGCCGTCAGGTCGGGCTGTGCACTTGGCAGGGCTGAAACAGTCGCATTTTGCTAAATAAAACTCTGAAGGGGAACAAAAGAGACTGTATGTTTTGTTTCAAGTTCCAAAGGGGCTGCGATGTTACCCGCTGAGGCCTGGCTGAGCAGGGGAGGTTGGGCCTGTTTTCAGACGCTGTCTACATGTCTAACAGATCTCTGTCCCTGGCTGTACCCTGTGACACTGCGTTGAAGGCAGTTCCTGGGATCTTGGAGCTCATGTCACTTGTTCAAACAAGAAATCAAGAAGTAGGATCTGCAACTTGCTTGCTGCCTGCGTAAGGAAGCAGCAGACTGGACTATTGCAAACACCAAGGCCTTGATGTGATTTACTGGGATCCTGTAGGCACATCTAAGCGGGCTCTGCTCCTTTTTGTGTCAGCCTTCTCAACCTAAGTTGGGTTTCAGAACAACGGTAACTTTTGGTGTGCTCTGTGCTGTCTGGATGAACATGGATGTCTGTGGATGAATGTGCTGTGGGTGAATGCAGCAGTGTCTGGGGTCTGGTCCTCCTAGGGGAAGAAGGTGTGTGAACCCTACTTGGCTGTGAGTTTGGCTGTCCTGGGTAGGTAAAGGAGAGGTTTTGTATCAGAAACTGGAAGTACTTCTAGGGCAAAGCACACAGCATGGTCCTTTGTTAGAACTTAATAGGTAATTTCTGCTGTCAAGAGGCTGCTCTTCCCTGGTGATGCACAAAAATTGGAAGAGGATGTTTGTTGGAGCCTTTGCCTGAGCAAGGAAGGAGTGGAATGAACCAGCTTCTCACCTGCTTGAAGGCAGCCCTCCATTCCCAGTGGATGTGAGACAGCAGCTCAGGGTGCAAAGTGATTTAAAAGCATGGCTTTGCTGCAGGATCACATTCTCACAAGGATCTTCCCAGCACAGCTTGCTGTCACGGTTCCTGATCTGTGCCTGTTCCCCTGCTGCCGCTCGTGCCTGCTGGCTGACAGCTCCCTTGTAGCTCCCATGGTGCTGCATGCTCTCCTTGTGCAAGTGGCAGAGTTGTCTTAAGTGCCCCAAGCAACGATCTACTGCTGTAAAAAGATGCTATGGCTGGAACAATCTTCCATCAGCTCAAAGCTGTAGATCCCAAAGACTGATAGCCCAAGATAAGGGTTCGTGGGGGGGACCTCTGGGTTATTGGTAACACTGAGCTGTTGCTGAAAGGATGGTGCTTTGCATCAGGGGTCGCTAAATACTGCTGCTGTATTGCTTGGAGCACTTTGGGCTCTGCATGTGAGAAGGGTTTTAGGTAAGTGATTAGGCATGAGATCGAAGACCAGAGAGAGCAAGCTGGCAGAGCTTGGGAGTGGGGAAGTCTGGTTTTTCTCAGGTCCTGATGTGTTACAGGTCCTTTAATGAAATTGTGAAGGAGGGATGGAGATATTAAATGTCTTCGTCAGTGTCCCCAGGGAGAGACCGTAAAGGAACTGGAGTAACTGTGGGGTGGGAGGAGAGGTTCTCTATTGCACTGGGACTTAGGCCAGGCCCAGAGCAGGACTGACCATGTCAGCTGAGCGGGTGAACAAGTATCACTGGTGCAGGCGATGACTCCTGCGACAGCCCTTCCTGCAACACTGCTGCTGCCAGTCCCTTTCTGCAGCCTGTGTTGGTGGGTGCTGCGCTCCTGTAGCTGCTTTTAATTCTTCCTGGCTGAAGCCTGGAGCAGAGCGGCAGCCCCATGGTGGTGCCAGCACTGCTGGGTAGAAGGATGCACCCTCGCATCTTGGGTGACATTGGGGAATGGGGAAGCTGCAAGAGGCGCTGGTACAGGGGCTCCAGTGAGCTCTGACGGTTGATGATGCCTCCATCGCGTCCGTTGTCTTGGGAGCACCATGCAGGTGGGTCCTGGAGCCACCCAGCAGTGAGGCTGTAACTGGGGATGCCACCCAGGCTCTAAGGAGTTTTCGTGGTTTGAAAGCAGCACTCATCAGGGGAGCTATGCTGGGAGCCTGTGACCTGCTCGCTTCCAAGTAGGGTTTGTTTGGGCAGGAGCTGTTCAGATATGAACTGGGATGGAAGGACACACGGAAATCGAGGGAGGTGATTCTGCCCCTCTACTCTGCTCTGGTGAGACCTCACCTAGAGTACTGCGTCCAGCTCTGGAGCCCTCAGCACAAGAAGGACATGGAACTGTTGGAGCGGGTCCAGAGGAGGGCCACAAAAATGATCCGAGGGCTGGAGCACCTCTCCTATGAGGACAGGCTGAGAGAGTTGGGGTTGTTCAGCCTGGAGAAGAGAAGGCTGCAGGAAGACCTGATTGCGGCCTTCCAGTACCTAAAGGGGGCCTACAGGAAAGATGGGGAAAATCTTTTTAGTAGGGCCAGCTGTGACAGGACAAGGGGTAATGGTTTTAAACTAAACCAGGATAGGTTTAGACTGGATCTAAGGAAGAAATTCTTTGCAATGAGGGTGGTGAAACACTGGCACAGGTTGCCCAGAGAGGTAGTGGAGGCCCCATCCCTGGAAACATTCAAGGCCAGGTTGGACGGGGCTCTGAGCAACCTGATCTGGTTAGCGGTGTCCCTGCTCACTGCAGGGGGGTTGGACTAGATGACCTCTAGGGGTCCCTTCCAGCCCAAAACATTCTATGATTATATGATTCTATGAAATCTAAGCACAGGGATGGCTGGTGCAGGGTAGAGACAGTAACTGGTCAAAGGGTGGGTTGCTAAAGCAGCAGCACTGCTGGGGTTGTCCCAGTGCTGTCTGCGCAGCAAGGTGTGTGATGGGCCATGTCTGTGCCTTCATGGAAGGGGTGTGCGACTGCTGCTCCTGAGCTGGCCAGTGGCCCCTGTCACCGCTCTCCCCTCCATGCCATGCAAATGAAGGCAGCTGCAGTTCGGTTCCTGCGCTCTGCACAGCCGCCTGCGTTCTGCACGTCACGCTGCGCATGGCTGGCAGTAAGGAAGCAGTTGGGTGTCCTCCTCTTCACCCGCTTTCATCAGCTCTGCCCATTCAGGAAGCATTGGTGCTGTTTGCAGAGACACCAGAGTCGCCAGAGCATCCTTCTAACGGCACACAGACCGGGCACAACAGCGCAGGAGGGGAGTGGCTGCCAAGCACATCCCAGGCAGGTAACGCATGTGAGGAGGGGGAATCGTGTTTTCCAAATGACAGAGGGAATTCCCAAGGGGAACTACCCAGCTTTCCTGTCGATTCTGCTCATGGAGGATGGGGAGAGGGCCACTGGCTGTGGCACACTTCCTTTGCACGTGGCAGCTTCCCACAACTCGTAGAGCTATCGTAAATGTCTGTGTAAATCAGCAGACCAGGCAGTAAAGAGATCAACCACCCTGCCATCTTCCTGGGCTTGCAAAGATTCCTCCAAATGGCTCTATTAACAACAGGGCTAATTTTTATTAGAAAAGGCAAAATAAATACCGTGAAGCTATGCCAGAGAGCTGCCCCCTACCTCAGCTTCTTAGCAGCCGCGGCCTACTGGGTCTTACAGTCACCATCCCCATTGTTAGCTGCCTTTATCTTCTTCAGCTCCTTCTGCAGCTGCTCCTCTGCAGCCAGGATCTCCTTCGGCTTCTGGTACTGTAGGAGAGAGAGAAATGCCCTTGGTGCTCCTGTTCAGCCTCTGCTCCAAGCAGACCTGCTGGAGCCCTCCTGCCAAGGGAGGCCTTTCTGTTACCAGCTACTTCCAAAGCCTGTTTGGAGGTGGTGCCACTGTGCGAGGGACACTTGCCAAGGCCTGGAGTGTCTTTTACAGTGCAAGTAAAACTTTCTAGTTGGATGTGGAATCCTGGTCCCCACCAACCCCTCTGGAGTATCGTGGTGAGCTGTGTCATGCAGATCCCTGGTATGCTCACTGGCTGTATGCTCACATGTGTTTATATATATTTATTTGTAAAATATGCATTCTTTAAAAGGCAGAGAAGTAAGAGTTGCAGTTCCTCTGTCCTCCCCTCGCCCCAGCTGCAGCTTAGTGGTGGATGCAGGTGCCTTTTGGCAAAGGTTTGGCCCGCAGCAAACAGGTCAGAAGGCCTCAAGGTGCTCCTCTTGGCCTGCTGCCCCTGCGCATGCACCCCCAGCTCTGCTGCAGTTTCCCTCAGAAGGGATGCTCGCTGGGTAGCTGACTTCTGCACTGAAGATGAGCAGCTGCTGCTCAAAAGCATCTGTCTGCCTCTGCTCCTTGCAACAACAGCTAAGTGCCCATTTTGCTAGTCTCACTTCCACCACGTGTGTGGAAGTGTGTCCTCTCCACATGTCCTCTCTGGCACAAACCAGCAAGTGATTTTTTTTTTTTTTTTTAAGATTGCAACACCTAGCAGGTCCTTGGACTCTTAACACTTACGTTCTGAGGCAAGAGAAACTTGCTGTCACTGAGAGTGGAGGTTTGCTCAGGCCTGAGGGAGGGGATACGTGGAAAACAGGGCATGGCAGACACTCTTCCACCTGCAAGTCACCTCAAGCAGCAAGCAGGGCCCCTCCTGCCGCCTGGGCTGTCCTGGCAAGTGTCAGCATGCCCAGTGTAATCTGAAACTCCCGCTGGCTGTGTGACAGAGAAGGGGGCTCATCAGTGACCCTCAGCAGATCTCCCTGCTCTGCCTCATTTCCCCACGTGTAAGAATTTTAACTTCTTTGTGGACAGAAAGAGAAGGGCAAAGTGCTGTTCTGCGTGGCTAAAAACTCACCGTGATGATTAGGGTGTTGTTGGCATGGGTGAAGCTCAGGGCAGCTGCGTCCAAGGGGAGCTGGTATCGGTCCAGGTCAGGAATAGAGAACTTTTTGTAGTACCTATAAATGAAAGAGGAGACAGAAATGAAGAAGATGGGGGTCCTAGTCCCCCACTAGCAGTGCTGAGCTCCAGAGTGCTGTTCTACAAGGTGTCAATGAGACAACAGACCTCCCAAGATTGGCAGCAGGACCCTGTGCCATGTTGTGTGCCTGCTGGTGCCCCGAGGCTGGCAGGAGCAATGGAAACAAACCTCCAAAGTTGAAATCAGAGCTGGCAAAGTCCTGAAGGGCTTTGGTGTATGAGAGCCGGCTCAGTCCCTCCAGCTTGCCCTTGCATAGTGCCAGACATGGTTAGGAACAGGCTACTCAGCCCTACCAAGAGGTGTCCGTTCTCTTTGTCCTTGCTCACCACCTCTCATTCCCTCTAAGTACCAGCTTCCATTAGCTCTTGTCAAAACAGCTGTCAAAGCTCTCGTGCCCTGTGACTTACTTTCCCAAGTGATGCACTGTTTTGCCTTGCAGTCCTTCCTAGATTGCTTCCTGCTTTGGTGGCACAGCGGTGCTCAGGCATACCCCTGGGCACAGAGCTCCAGGAGCTGCCCACAGTCACATGAGCCTCTGCTCTGCAGTGTCCCCATGCAGCCCCCACAGTGGCTGTGGTGCTCCTCTGCACTCCCAGCTTCCCTGGCTGCTCTTTGCCTGTCTCTATTGCAGTTTCCCAATCACACCTCACATAGTCACCAAGGTTTTTGCCAGCCCCTTATCCAGCCTGTGTGTCTCTGCTGACTAAACCTTGGGCTTTGCTCGGTGTGAAGGAAAAGGGATGTGTTTCAGGTAGAACTGGAGCAGTTACAAGCTGTCTAGGCAATTGAGAGATTACCTAAGACTTTGGGACCAGAACCTTGTAGCCCTGTGTCTGTGTTTGCCTGAGACCTTTCTTCCTTGGCATGGCTTACCCTGCATTTGTTGGCTCTCTCTGAACCAAATACCCCAGTTGGTGGTCCTATGCCCATGTAGAGGCACGGCTGGGTTCTTAACCTCTTCCAGCACTCTCATGGGCAATCCTCTCCAAGGAATTGGCCTGTAGCTGGTACTGAGGTGCCCAGAGCAGGGCGGGAACAGGCAGTGGCTGCTGTCATGCCATGAGGGGTTCTTCTCCATTCTGCTGGCTGTGTGTGTGAGGCTTAGCCTCTCTAGCTACCTCTGCCCAAATTGCAGTTTATTTTCCAAGTCACGGTGAAAAGAGCTACAAAGGGCAAATGGCTCTCCTGGTGCAGTGGGAGGAATGTACGCAGCTTGTTACCGCAGGGCTCAAACCGTTCTGTGTTGTCACTGCTGTCGGTATTTGGAAAAGGTGGCAGACATGGATAATAAGGGAGATGTCAAAGGTTAAACAGCAGAGATTAGATGAACACAAAGACATGTTAAGGAAGTGTTAACTTCTTACCGATTAGACAAAAAAAAAAAAAAAAGCAGTACACAGAAAAAAACCACTGTTTCAAAGGGCCTTGGGAGTCATCAATGAAACAGCAGCATTCTGCTGCCCCAGGACTAAGGAGAAGGGGAGAAGAATGGCTTTGGCTGGCCTCAAACTAAAATCTGTGACAAGATCAAAGGAAACCAGATCTGCCTGGCCACCCCCTCCTCCTCCTAACATTACCGCTGCCTCTCGCTACAATAATTGAATCAGGTTTGGCGTTTGGGGAGAAGGCTTTCTGGGTTTGTTTTTAGAATTTAGTTTAATGGATTTATTTTACAGCAAGAGGTTTTAAGCAAATCCCACTTGAGCAGCTCTTGCCATGGCCAGAGGGAACGGGAGTGACTGGTGGAAGTGAAGAGCTCCCGTCTGGGCTGGGGAGGTAGCTGATGGGTGGTTATCCCTGCTGAGGCAGGCAGATTCTCTGCCCTCGCCTCTCACCCCATGGCCAAGGGCAGTATTGCACTCTGAGCCTGGGTCCTGGCTCAAGATCCACAGTGCGTATGTGAAGTCACCTCTATTATTTTCCTACTGGAAACCCACTTTTTGTCAGCCTGTAGAGAAAACTGCTACTGGTATGCTGAGAATTTAGAGCTGAGCTACTCAGTAGTGATTTGGCAACCCATCCCATTGCTTGTGCCTCTGGCTGGCGGTCAGCACAGCTCTGTTGCTCAGAAGCAGTGTGGCTGACTTCCAAAGGCTGGAGAGGCTCCGAGGCTTCCTTTCTCTCCCGTAGCGATGCACGCTCTCTCTGTGAGCTCCATGCTTTTATTGTTATCTTGGAATTAGTTGCTGAGTGGTGCCTTGCCCTGGCTGAGACCCAGGAGAAATGATAGAAGATATCCTGGAGCCTGTACTAAGGGTTCTGGTGCTGGAATCTGTCCCTGCTCCTCCTGACAGCAAAGTTGCTCTTATTCCCAACGAGCAGCCTTTCAGATTTAATTCCAAAAGTCCTTAACTTTCATATGCAGGCCATAAGCCACTGTCAGGTCCTTCAGCTCCCTCTGACACTAGCCTATGAGTGCGTAGGCATCAACTGTTTGCGGGGGTGGGGGGGGACTATGCTGTTTTCCTGAGAGTGGTACAAAAAAAGCTTGAAGTCAGGACATGGGTGAAGCCTCGGTGGTGCGTTACAACCTCACAGCACCTACGCAGGCAAGGACATTCCCACATACACACTAATAGTAGGATTGGGAGTAGATAAGCCTGTCTGGGATACCATGTCGTTGGACTTAGGCTCACGTACTCCCTTCCTGTCCTAGCTTCACGTGTATCCATGTGTGGCTGATGGGAATCTCATTCATCTTTACTACGTAGGTCTCCCTACTTCTCCTGTGAATACCTTTGCGTGAGTTTAGGCCAGCATCTTTCTGTATTAGAGCTGTAATTGCTCGCTGTTTTCATGGGGTAGACTCCCCCTTCCTCCCATCTAGCCTCCTCCTGCTTTTGAGTGTCCAGGTGTGCTCATGCGCAAAGGTCAAACATCCCCTGGCCACTGCCTCTGATGTGGTAAACCCCTGCCTGAAGACTTGCCGGTTTTGTGACCTGAAAGGCGTTCAGCAGCCAAAGCAGAGCAGTTCTTTGCCAACAGCACCACCTACAGCCAGCTACAAAGAGCGGCTTAAAGAGGGCAGGGAACCTTCTTGGAGGATTGGGAAACGCCGGGGTTCATTTTACCCATGAATCTGATCCTTCTCTGTTCCGCGGCAATGTTGGGGAGGGAAGGCAGGCAGAGAGCAGCCTGCCCAGCTTTCCATGCTGGTGTATTATCCCAGTTTGTAAATAGCTTTCACTTCCAATATCCTCCCTTGTTCTCCTAATACTTGTTCCTTGCTATCTCTTCCCAATACGACTGCTCATACTGGTTTATCTCACTGAGGCTGTAAATGCTTTGGGGCACAGCGCACATCTCATTCCATGAGAGATGCCACACACTGACACCATATAACATCACGCTTAAAAGCATTTTCTTTTTTTTTTCCTCCCATCTCAAATTTCTTTTGGCAGAATAATTGTGGTGCTTCCTTTCCAGATTCAGTCTGCCTTTCTTTCCTTGCTACCTCCAAATCATATCAATGGCATTGTGACTAGAGGACAAGTTTACACAGGGAGACCTGTCTGCCTGGGTGCCTATGACTTTGCCGTATCTGTTGAATCCTGCAGCTCCATGCATTCTGAGATACAATGACTAGATCAAAGCATTGTGTCAGAGGGAGAAGATGGGATGCTCTAGCTTCAAAAGGTCTGCAAGGGTCTTTCTTACTTTATTTTTCTATGGGAGTGACATTTGGCAGGGAAAGAACATCATGCTACTGGAACCATGAGGTAAGTTTGCAAAGGCCAGCTCAGAGCTTGAGGGGCTCTACTGTAAACGTGTCTGGGGCAGCTGGGAGTTGAAATTGGACAGCAGGAGGCACGCAGCTGCGAGGTGGGGCCCCTCAGCCCTCACATGCTAGGGATCGAAAGCAAGAGAGGACAACCCCCCTGTGCAACCACTAGTCTGCCCTCTGTGCCAGCCCACCCCGAGGGACTGTCAGCACTGGCAGTGCTGTCCTTACTGACTTCTTGTTGGTGGTCCGGATGACACAGCAGCGCTGCTCCTTCTCCACGGAGACACTGTAGACCTCCTTGGGATAGGGCAGGTTACGGATCCGCCACTGGAAGCTGCTCAGGGTGTCCTTCCTCATGAAGACAGGCTACAGCAAACAAGTACCTTTAGCAAGGCCCCTCCAGCTGTCTCCTCTCCTCCCTGTCCCCTTCTTCCTGTACTAACTTGAGAGGGTAGTGGGAGTAGCTCTTCCTTCACACTGGAGCATCAGGAAGTAACTCAAGAAACTGCCCAGGCATTGCTTTCCTAGAACTAGCACTGCTCTACCTTTACCCAGGGTACTGCCTGCCCTGCTTGTAGGAGGCTGAAAGTGTTCACAGAGGGAGTCTTGCAGTACAGGGTTACAGGGAAACTGGGCCTCTTCCTCACAGGCAACCGAATACTGAGCTCTGCCTACCCTAGGGACCTGCTGGATTCAGTCCTGGCTCTGCCCCGATTTGCTGCACAGGGCTGTGCTTGTGTTTCAGGTCCATAGAAAAGATGAGGAGAGACATAAAACCTCTGCCCACTCAGCTAGTGGGACATGAAGATGAAACAGGCAGTGCTACGTTAAGGAGCAGCCTGCCATCCGCTGCCTGTGTTGGCCTTTCACTGTCATCACCTCTGCTTTTCATCCACTGACTTGTCCTGGCACTGCCCTTCCTTTCAGCCTACTTTTTGGAAGGCAGAATAGTACGTGGCCAACAGAGTGGTACAGCTTCTCTACTTAATGAAACTACAAATCTTTTGAACACCCCAGAAGAACTTAATCTGTGCCCTCTTTCTACCCAGCCCCACACCCTTGGGATGATTTGTAGCAGAATGCTGGGCAGGTTAAAGCTGTCTCTTGGGCCTGTGAGTGACCTGCAGTCTACTAACTACTGCTGTAAGCACAAGACTAGGTAGTTTCAGGTGCAGTCGTGCCTGCAGACCCTTACGTACATTGGAGCTGCTTTCCTTTATGAATTCTGAATCTGGTGCTCCCAGGAGCGGCGAGGTTGGCTCTCCCACTTCAACCTGCCACTTGCCGGAACCCCCGAGGGTGTTCTTCTCTCGCCATTTTCTACCTGTGGAAGGGAGAAGAAGGATTTTTGTTATTCTGCTCCATAAGAACAACTCCAGCAAATGACTGCCAACGCTGCCCAGCACACTGAGATGATATGAAGATACACATCTTAATTCCAGTCATTTCTACTTTGGTGTGAGTGGATCTGTTGGCTGGTCTCTTTTTGCTACTTGGTGCTGAAGCCATGGTGGGGTTGCAACAGGTGCTGTGCCGCAGCTGATGTGGTTTTGGACAAGATCCATAACCAAGACCTTGCTTGTGTGCGGTTGCAGAAGCCACCAAAAAGCACGTTTCACCCCAGCATGTGCTACAGCCTCGGTGCCTGGCTATGCAAGATGGCAATTCCATTTAATCTGTCCAAGTCTGTTGTTGCAGATGAGCTGTTTGGGAGAGATCCTGGGCTAAAGCAAGGTCTGCTATGCCATGGAAGTCAGAGCACCCTGGGGCCCAAGCTGAACGTCCCTACACAGTTCAGCTACAGGCATGCTTATCTCCCAGAATATTTAGGGGTGACTTGTTCCTTAGTAGGAGGTCCCTCCCAACACCCCAGTCCCGTGAGTGCAGACCCACCGCCACGCACACCACAGTTCTGCCCCGACCCACGGCTCCTGGGAGCACCACTTACTCACTAACTGACCGGTCTTCATGTCGTACTCTTCGGCCATCTCCTTCCCATCCTCGAACAGGTAGTGGATCTTCCGCTTCCCTAGAGGCAAGGCAGGTGGGCAGGGTAAGTGGGAATGCACCTGTCCCTGGGTGCACGGCCCCGTCCCGCTCTCCGGGGCCAGGCCCCCGCGTTGATGGCCCAGCGCGAGCACCACTTACTCACTAACTGACCGGTCTTCATGTCGTACTCTTCGGCCATCTCCTTCCCATCCTCGAACAGGTAGTGGATCTTCCGCTTCCCTAGAGGCAAGGCAGGTGGGCAGGGTAAGTGGGAATGCACCTGTCCCTGGGTGCACGGCCCCGTCCCGCTCTCCGGGGCCAGGCCCCCGCGTTGATGGCCCAGCGCCCTTTGCTGGGGCCCGGGCCCAGGGGCAGGGCCGTTCCCCGGCAGC